GATCATCACAGCGGACCGGTTATCTTGACAACACACCGAACGAATCCACAGACCGCCTTCTGCAATCAGACAGCGACAGCGACTTCGACGAGATCAGCGCAACCAAGAACCCCAACGCACCCAAAGTCCGCAGCATCCTCTGGTGGAAGGTCACAACACCCAGCACATCGCGCTTCCGAAACAACATACACAGTCGCATACTGCAGCGTTTCCCATTTTTGATTGAGATGTTCTACTGGGTCATCAACTACGCATTCTACCGCATGACCGCCATTGCATCGGCCAAGCTCTTCGCCGGGCGAGGAATTTGGGACGTAGCACAGGAACATGGAATTGCAGTACTAGAAGCGGAAGAATATGGTTTCCTGAGATTTTTATTCCCTGTCCGCGAAAGAGATGTCCAACAGTGGTTCATGCATGGACACCAAGACGCTCTTACAGTGCTGAACAAGTGCTATGCGCTGATTCACATTCCTGGAACGGTTGGGTAAGTTTGATGTTGAAGAACGTATTGGGTCTTTGCTGATTTCTCCAAGATTCATTTGCTGGTACTACTACGTCGCACCGTCCTTTGACACTTTTGCCATCGCCCGCCGAACCCTTACCCTGACCAACTTCTGCGCTTTCATGACCTTTGTTGTATACCCATGCATGCCACCACGACTTCTACCTACCGAATACGGTTTCCTTGACACTGTCCGTCACGACGACGCACAAAGTGTATGGATGAGCGGCAAGTTCGTCAACCAGCTCGCAGCCATGCCGTCGATGCACTTCGGCTACTCTTTTTGCATTGGCATGACCATGATCTACCACTCTGGTCTTTTCCGCCGCACCCTGGAACAGGGCGAAGTACGCAAGAACGCATTCTGGAAGATCTTCTACCTACTTCTAGGAATTGGATACCCTTCCTTCATCTTGACAGTTATCGTTGCTACAGCCAACCATTACTTCATGGACGCATTGGTGGCTACCTGCTTCGTTTTCCTTTCCTTCCTTTGCAACAAGTTCTTTTACGTCTTCATCCCGCTTGAGGACCTCCTACTTTACGTTATCCGAGCGGACAAACCCGTCCCCACAACTGGCGATCGCTTCCACGAGAAGGGTGGCCGTCTGTAGTCTGACGATCCGACTACTTCCCTTTAGCCCTTGGCTCCGGTTGAGAACCTTGTTCACTTTAATCTCGTCGCATTTATGGAGCATAGCATTATCGGCGGCGTTGGTTAGAGCACCTGAAAATTACCCATGTCGCAATTGGATATCACGCAAGTAGCGATGTTATATGTATATGTTCTAGATCCGAATTCAACCTATCTCTGTTGTACTCGCAGTCGTTGCTATGGTGTTCGTGCAGACATGTTTGTGTGATGCTGGCTGACGCTCGCCAAGACCTGTTCCTGCGTTAGCGTGGAGAGAGCTCCCCAGCTCCAGCTCTCGAAGACGCGTACAAGCTCTCGAGAAGGCTCCCAGTCGTGTCCAACCACCACTCAACGCTCTCTAAGTAGTTCCACGCGCTTTGACACGCGATTTTTGTATAGCGCTACCATCTCTCTAGCTATCCGCTTTTCGCGATTCATACTATTTTCTGGTTGCTGACATTGATATTCCGCATAGCTATCTTCGAGCTTGTTTCGAATAGCTTCATTCGCTTCCACACACTTTCCTCCGCTATCGCATATACCCAATCATAATAGTTATGGCGGATCTTGAGCAACAGACGCCGATTGAGGGCACACCCGTCAATGACATTGAGATGGAGGGCGCGGGCGACGCTGAAGCTGGCGCGGGAGAGACAACACTCTTGCCTGAGATTGAACCGGAGACGCCCAAGCTGGTTCTCTTCGCTGAGTGAGTCACGCTCGTATACATACATTAGGCCAGGGGATGTTTTGGTGAGCTGGCAAGAGCGGGGGTGCACTGGTTGCGTGCATGAGGCTTGATAGCTAGAACACAGCCGGAGATAGTGCGCGCAATCATTGCCTTAGCTTTGCGGAATTGTGAATTGTTCCTTGCCCTCATGAAGGTCAAAGACATACAGAATGAATGCGCAGCTAACATGCGACCAGTCTCATGAAGAGTCCGATCGTCGAAGTCATCGTGGGATCCGGAGACGACCGAACTACATACTCAGCGCACGAGGCAGTTCTCGTGAAGTCGCCAGAGTTCGTCAAACAAGTTGAGAAGTTTGCGCCAGGAGGGGTACGCTACCAGGTCCTCGCTCAGCCAGAGGTCGCTTACTGACAGTCTCTAGCCTCGCCAGATCGTCTACACAGATTGCGACGTTGATGCTATGGGCTCAGTGGTTGAATACCTCTACACCGGCGAATACTTCCCCAAGAAAACATCCAGCGCACGCGACGCACCTCTCGAGAAGGACCCGCGGCAGCCGTCTACTGATAACGAAGGCTTGGGTCTTCTTGTCCACGCACGCATCTACACCCTCGCGGATCGTCTCCAACTCCCAGAATTGAAGTCCCTCGCACACTCGAAGATCCACCGCACGGCCTCGACTGCAAAGGGGGAGCTCGCATACGCACGCTACGTATACAAGGAATCTAACCCCGAAGACGCGACTATCCGCAAGCCGGTGGCTGCTTTCTGGGCTACACGCAGCTACAGCCTACGCCACGACGCCGAGCCAGAATTCAAGGCCATGTGTCTCGAGTTCCCACAATTCTCGTACGATGTGCTCCAGCTTGTCTTGGACCAACAAGAGAAGAAGCGTGGCGGTGATGATGGGCCGAGTCGAGGTGGGCCGAGCGTGGTTCCTGGAAGCACGAGGAAGAGGGCTAGAGTGAGTCAAGTATAGATGCGAGATTTGATTTTGCATCGTGCTTGATTCTTCTTACCTCCTTTGGAATGCTTTCTTGCTTCCCGTGTTAAAGCCCTCCCTAGCTTCTATCACAGCATAATCCAAATGAACATTTGTATGACGCGCCTGGCTCTGGCGAAATGTTCTTTTGGGGCCTGTAGGACGTGTTCTTCACTCACACTGGTTTCCTTTGTCATATCAGATCTCGATTTTGTAAATCACATCTACCGTCGAGCACCTAGCAGCGGTCATGATATTCTGACATGTCGAAAAGCTTTGCTCAGCATTCGGGCTGAGGGTAGTGCTGGCTTAGACCGTATGTTCTTCGGGTTTAACACCATGGACATTGGCCGCTAAAGGTGTTTTGATAGCAGGAAAGCATGGCGTATGTAAGTGGGCAACAAGCTTATCAGTTTCACATGTTCAATCAGTAGATTGTGTTGATAGCGCTGTGTTATAAGTAGAGTATTGTTGAGGCCAGTGTTCTTATCATGGAGGTCATTCCGCCAGAGCGTAGTGGTACGTACCCCAAACTTAGTCGTATATGCTCAACATCGAGATCTGAGTAAGCGCTCAAAGCACGGCGGCTTGTACGTGCATATATATTATCACATCCCCATACATGAATTCGAAACACAGCAAACGATCCGCCGGAGTACTTGACTATATCAGGTGCTCAGAGTTACAATTACTTGCGTTGACCCTTGTTTAGAGAAAAGCCACTGGATGCATTATGACGTGACAGAAAGCTTGCTGCAGGGACGGGGGTCACGTAGCGTGAACGTAGTGCTGAGCTATAGAACTACACATTTGTTGGGACGACGGTGCTACATGCACAGTGGCCATTGCCGGATTGTAGAGTCATTGTTGCTTGGATAGGTAGCTGCCAAGTACAGGCGAAAGAGGGGTCAGTGCCGCTGCGGGATGTGGAGGACACGGTACGTGAGCGTTACGGGCAGGAAAGGTCGCAAAGAAGAAAATGCCTCGATCATGAAGAGCGTACTGATCCCTGGTAAATGAGCAACTTACTGGGTAGAAGAAGCTAGCGACGCCGTCGTTCAAGTGTGTCGACTGTCAAGCGGACCAAAGGGCTAAGGTAGCATTCACGCTAGAGTACAAATGCTGGGCATGAGCGTCTGTTTCGGGACCCTCGAAAGTTCTCATAGCCCGGGTAATTTAAGCCATGGCGTCGATGTCATCAACTATTGGCGATGGCTACGACAATAGTCCAGGTTCTCTGACATCTGTCATCCATCGTTTGGTGACATTGCGGTCCGGCTATCGACGAGTGGAACACGCCACCCGAGGGTGAGAGGGCCGGTCAAGACTGCGCGAACACGTGGAGGTGCATCACAGTGCGCATGTTCGTGATTTAAGGGTGGGTCGATTGGCTGCAAGTTGTGCGATCGTAGAGTTTGTGATACAGCGACCCGGTCCCGCGATGCATGCATAGTGTTGCCAGATCTACAGAGGGTGGTGGGAGGGTGTACTGTTACGTGCTGTCATTGCCTGCCGTCCCAATGCGACGGACGTGCGTTAGCCGTGCATTGGCAGGAGGTACTTTGTAGCCACAAACTGCGAGACAATGGTCACGATGGCAGCAATGAAGTGTGAAAGTAGGGGGCGAGGCCAGGTACAAACGTAAGGTAGCCGCGGTTCAGCAGGCAATAGTTATAGACCCGAGTCTGGCCAGGTGCTTCATTTCTCCGAGATTCCTCTTCATCTCCGCAATTACTCTCACATGACAGTCCAGTAGGCAGCTCCATCGTGTCTCCAGGGCTTCGTCGCTTCTTCTAAGGCGCGGCGGACCCTGCAGAACCACGCAGGTGCCCCGCAGTATTGTGCCCGATATCTACAAACTCGCGCACTCTTTCGGAATCCACCCCGGAACTGCTCGAACCTATGCATCTTCTCATCCCGCTGCTGGGTACTTAACAGCTAATTAACCGCCAATCACGACGGCCTGGATCCACCATCTCTCTTCCTTTCTCTCGTCGCCTCGAGAGATGCAGGCTGTTTAGGGAGACTGCTGCGCGTCTTTTGCCTGCACTGTCACGGCCCGGTGGGCCAGCGCTCTAGCCTTGTTCTGCACTCACGAGACCCGCTCTCGGGCCTCGCATCGTGAGTCGACGCTCTCCAGCGCTCCACGTACCCTCACATCGTGACCCGCCAACGCACTCGGCGCGCTTCACCGCGCCTTGTCAGGGTTCGTCCAGCCACTTTACGCTACTCTTCCATGGCCACCGTTTATACAACGCGGCAGCGAGCTTCGGGACGGCGCTTGCATCAAGGTTCCGACCAGCTGCAATAAGTCAAGACGCAATCCTTCTAGCGTCACTTGACCTTACAAACTGAACGCCTCCCCCCAAGGCTATCGATTATCGTATCTTCCATTGTCCTTCTATACATCAACACTCACATCGCCAACCCTCTAACCCCTACGAATACGAGCCTCCCTAGTCGTCACGCTAATCACGCTGATCCTCACATCCAAGTGTAAGCTAATGTTCAGCACTACGCTGGACTTTGTGTTGATCAATTGCAGGCCTCCGACATTTTATACACTACCTCCTACATCAATCCCTTCAGCTCTTGCTCGATACACTTTCCACCTGCAAAGTATATCGGTAGACTTCGGCAGCATATCCACAAGTCCAAATGATCCAAGTGTGCCACGCAGCCCCTCCATACAAGACCGTGCATCCGAGGCGACTCGTACTTGCACCGGTCATTCAAAACCAACAAACCATGGATCCTCCCTCAGCACCCAACCCGGCAGGCGATGCAGGAGTACTACCACATTTCAACAGCCTCAGCATTCAGGACGCACCATCACCACCAACCAATGACACCGATCTCGATGTTTTGACCATGTCACGAGAAACCGCCATGAAATTAATCGCCCGCTCGATAATCGCCATAGCCAACGCAGCCGGCGACGTACCAGCAACACCGCCACTCTCACGGCCTGGAACGCCTGGAGGAAGGGAAAACCATCTCATTCGATCACATCGGCGGACAGCATCCAGGCCAGCGACGCCTATACCCGCTGAAAAAGAGAATCATCAACCCACCGAACTAGCTCCACCCGAAGCGGGTCACGATGAGCCCGTCACTATACACGACATTGGCGCCGGAGCGCAGCCCGAGTCCGTGCAACGAGCCAACATGGCTCGAAAGTTTTTCTCCAAGACAGTGCCTAAAGTCGGTGTTGAGGAGTACATGAACCGCATCCAGAGATTTTGCCCCTTATCTACTGCTGTTTGGCTGGCTGCTGGATCGTACATGCTGCGATTATGCGTTATCGATAGGAGCGTTCCTCTCACATACCGCACAATGCATCGCCTCATCCTGGCCTGCGCTCTCGTCGCAATGAAGGCACTAGAGGACCACCGATGGCCTCAAAAACGATTCGCTGCAGTAGGAGGTGTTGACGAGGCAGCACTTAGCCGATTGGAGCTGTGTGTGGAGTTTTTGCTGTCGTTCGATGTCCAAATCTTCACACCGGAGAAGCTGAAAGATTTGACGCTTCAACTGCAAAAGGCGGGACAGGCAGCGACCATGACATGCAGATTACCGACGTCATTCAACCTAAAGCTGAATAGCCCAAAGATAAGGAATGCACAGGCTGTTTGAATTGAGCGACACAAAAGGCAAGCGTTTCCTTTTGACCGGATTTTAGGATATCCTCATTTAGCATAACAAAGGCGTTTGGGTAGCAAAACACGGACACGATAGCTGGGAAGCTTCTGTACTATAGACACCAAGAGGTGTGTACTGGAAGAAAGTCAAATTTTTCGACGTGCAAACAAAAGCTGCAGCGAGCCCACTTTTGGCGGTTGATTGTGGAGACCCGATGTTGAGGATTCAGGTACCGGCCCCAAAGTGGGAGATAGACGAGTGGAGCAAATCGGATGCTATCTGTTTACGCTGTTTGAAGTGTCATAGCAACGATATGCACGTTAATACAACAAGTAGTGTGGTCAACCATGGAACTGAAGTGTACATGTTTATTGCCATGGTGTTGAGGCGTCGCAATAGAGCGATGATCCCTGCCAATCGCAGATTAGCGTGCGCGGCAACGACGATCGTCCCCTGGCGTCGCCGCATGTTGCTTGATTGATTCCAGACTGCATCCTCTACTCAACACTAACAACCACCGCGCAATACCCGTCTCCACTGTTGCCTCGTCTCGACGCATCTGTTTATCGCATTGAAGATACGCGTAAACTGCGTGTATCGCGCCCCTCGTTCCATTACCGGACAGCAGCTACGACCCACCCCTCCACGCTCGCTTTCCTAGCCACACCGCTGCCCGACCGCCACTCGCTACTATCACAATCCCTCACGATGACTCGGATACTACTTCCCCTCGCGCTCCTCGCCGCTCTGTCTCCACTTGTAAACGCCGGCGTCAAGTTCACATCACCGAGCGCGGGTGACAAACTCACGGCTGGCACAGCCGTTACCGTGAAATGGGAAGAGGGCGGCTCTGGACCTGCGCTGACAGATCTGACGACTTATCAGCTGCAGCTGATTGTAGGAGGAAATGAAGGCTCTGAGCAGGTAGGTTACAATACAGGCACTCGTGGAGGCGCATTGAAATGTTCTAACGATGGGAAATAGTTCGTAGTGGGTACCATTACACCCAGCGGTGCATTCACAGCTGGCAACACAGCTTCGGGTAGGATCGAAGTAGGCATGTCTGAGGACTTGAAGACCGCCAATGCCTAGTATGTTCCCACAATCAACCCAGATCAGCAAGATGCTAACTCGACTGTCACAGCTTCATCAAGATGATCGCAGTCGGAAAGACTGGTGGTCAGCTCGTCACCTACTCTGACCGCTTCCAGTTCTCTGGCTTCACAGGCAAAAACATCCTCAACCCTACTGTCAAGAAGGCTGCGGAGGACATCTCCACCACCGCTGGACCAGCAACCGAAGACACAACGACCGATGGAACCGACCCGGCTGCAGCGGACCCTGCTGAGGGCGACTACGGTGTGACTTACACGATGCAAACGGGCCCTACGCGTTATGCGCCCATGCAGCCTGTACCACCTACAAAGATTACCGCCAAGAACACGAAGCCGCTGTATCCTACCAGCAGCGTCAAGATTGCAAAGTCGAAGCTGCCAATACCGACCATCCAGACTACGCTCACGCAGAGTCAAACATTCTCTGTTAAGAGCATGGAGAACACGGTACGTCATTTGTTGTGCGCAGAGATGCGCGACTTGCTTGCTATCTAGAAGATGTACTGATTGTTTTAGGTTGCCGCGGCTCCTCACGCTACCGACGATATGGCCAAGTACCTCAGACGCTGGCAGGACTAGTCTTCCTTTTTCGAAAAGCATAATCGATCGACCACTCAACGCAACGGACGAAGATGAACGACCAACCTATACCGACTTCGATAGATGATAAACGTTAGCGCATGGTGTGGCTGTCCATTATTGTGTGAAAGATTAAGGGTTGGGGATTTGAAAGCACGAATTGCATTAAACAGCTCGTCGCTCGTATGAACAATGGGTTGTCTTGAGGTATTTTTGGTCTACGCGGAGCGTAAAATAGGTTCGCGCTGAATAATGATGGCATAGCGGACTGGCGTCTGGAGCTCAAGCGTGTTTATTGGCGTTGAACGACTTGTTCTGGGTTGAGAAATTAGACATGATCATGTAGCATTACAAAAATTATCAACCCGACATCCGCTTCACAGGGCGAAGATTTGCGACGTACATCTTTTGACAGTCGGAACGAATAGATGCACCTTCCTTTTTAAAACATCGCGACACGTAGACCGCGGCTACCCGTCAGACGCGTGCGAGCTCACCCCACCACCCCACCTTCCCGGCCTGTAGCTATCGTCGCGCCTAACATCAGCAAAGCTCCTCGAAGCTCCCCATGCGTGCCCTACTACCTCAAATCAGCCGTTCACTTCGACACACTTTACGTGCACGTCAACCATCACCAACAAGACACTCGGCCATCGCGACACCCTGCTTTTACACCTTATCTGCAGAGAGTGGCAGCTGGACAAACGTGCACAAGATGGCTATTGCCGAAAACTATGAAGACGTGCTGAAGGGCAAGTACCCGGCCAAAGCACATGCGAAGAAGGTCGCAGAGTGGATCATTGAGAAGGGCGGTGACAAGAACGGAACAATCTATCTAGAGGCGCAGAAATTGAAGTTGAACGAGGTAGGTGCCCATAGTGATGCTCAGGTTCACAACAGACACTGATTCTCTTGTTTAGGACAATGATGGCGAGGCACCGTTCCGGTAGGTGGTATAGTGATCGAAGAGAAGCATGGGGCTAATTGTCTTTATCCAGTCAGCGACGCTACTTTTTCTACCTCAGCGGATGCGAACTGCCAGACTCCTATTTGGTATATGAAATCGCCACTGACAAACTTACTCTCTTCATCCCTCCTGTAGAACCCGATGAGGTCATCTGGTCCGGCCTACCTATGAGCCCCGAAGAAGCCAAAGCAAAGTATGACATTGACGAATGTCTAACAACCAAGGACGTCAACTCTCACCTCGCCAGCCAATCCGAATCAGCTCAATCAACCATCTATGCCATTCCAGAACAGGTCTCGGATCACGTCACCTTCATTTCTTACAAAGAAAAGGAGTTCAAACAACTCAAGACTGCCATCGAGTATTGTCGCGTCACCAAGTCAGACTACGAAATCGCACTTATTCGAAAAGCAAACGCCATCTCAACAGCCGCCCATGAAGCCGTGATGAAGGCTGCGTCGAAAGCGCAGAACGAATGCGAACTCGAAGCTGTGTTCCTCAAGGTATGCGTAGAGCGCAACGCGAAGAACCAAGCCTACCACTCTATTGTTGCAGCCGGTGAACATGCCGCGACATTGCACTATGTCAACAATGCTGCGCCAATTTTGGATCAGAACCTTCTGCTGCTAGATGCAGGATGTGAGGTCGACTGCTACGCCTCCGATATCACACGCACGTTCCCTGTAAAGGGTAAATTCACAACTGAGTCCCTTGCTATCTACAAGATTGTGCTGGATATGCAACACCAGTGTATTAACGCACTCAAGGCCGGCGTTGTGTGGGACCATGTCCACGAGCTTGCTCACAAGATTGCTATCAAGGGACTCCTGGATCTGGGCATATTGAAGGGCGACGCAGACGAGCTGTTCAACAAGAGGATTAGTGTAGCTTTCTTCCCTCACGGTTTGGGTCACTACCTCGGAATGGACACTCACGACTCTGGTGGTGACCCCAACTACGCGGACAAGGATGTCATGTTTAGGTATCTGAGGAAGAGGGGCACCCTGCCTGAACGTAGCGTCATTACCGTCGAGCCTGGTATCTACTTCTGCAAGTTCATTATCGAGCCGTATCTCAAGGATGAGGAGAAGAAGAAGTACATCGACGAGAGTGTGCTGGAGAAATACTGGAGTGTGGGTGGTGTGAGGATTGAGGGTATGTTACCACGACGAGGTGTATTGATGATATGCTAATGCTTTGCAGATAACGTGCTCGTCACCAAGGATGGACACGAGAACCTAACACCGACGGTGAAGGAGATTGATGATATCACCCAGTTGATCGTATCTGGTCAGTAGAGGCTTACTTTAGATTACTACGATGATGAATCACGCGAAGGAAGCAATTGATACCAGGAAACCATTGCAACATCTCGACAGCTTTGTTTGTCTCTCCTAACCAGTGATTCACGCTCAAGTAGCCATGCAGTACTGGTATCCAGCCCAGAGATTGGAACAATCATCCTTCAGCTTCGAGTTGAGCTGACGCAACTTGGTGAAAGCAATGGGTGCGGACTCGCAGGTGGCGCCTTCCGTAGGAGTGTAGTATCTGGTACAGCCATCTGCTGCGCCTGTAACGTTGGTGTCGAGGATGCCACTATCGCCGGCTTCATTTGGTGTTGCCTGCTTGTTGTCGGTCTGATGTTGATCCAGGTCAATTTTCTGGTTGCTACTATCGTTGTTCTCGCCGTAGTTTCCCCCGCGACCTTCCGTCATGGTAAGTCCAGCAACAGCATTGTTATTGCAGCTACTCTCTCCAAAAGGCTTAATGAGACGATTCGCGATATCGGATGCGTAGCACGCCGTAGCACTATGGCCCAGATTTGGATTTGTGACTTGAGAGCCGGAATTGTAGCGACGCGCCGCTTTGTAGTACTTGCTGTCGTCCGTGGTGGTACTGAAAGCACTAAGCGACTCTTTCAGACTCGTCCGCAATCCCTCTCCTGCAGTACCTTCGTGGATCATGGCGCGGATGTCTTTGGCGGGGCATGGCGAGATGGGACTCTGACCGAGGGGATGACAAGTTGTAGTACCCGCGCCTTGCATAAGACCTGGATTATGTGCGTCGGACTTCGAGGTGGGGGCGCGCACACAGCCCTTGGAATCTTGCATCATTATGGCGAGGATGAACTCCTTCGGGACGCCGGAAACCTCTGACTCTGACTCTATGCAGTCCTTGATGGCCTGTGTTTCCGCGTCGTTGTTGTTGTTGTCGCCCCAGCCGTTGTGCTTGCAGGAACCTTTGATGAAGTCTTGATTGGCATTCCTACTACGGTAAGTCTGTGATACGTCGTCTCCTTGATGGGGACATACCAAGCATCGTCAAACGACATCCACTCAGTCTGCTTTGGCCATCCAGCGCTCATCGACCCGTCGCCGCCAAATGTGATATAATCAGCTCGTGGGGCTAGAGCAGTAGATCTTGCGACATGGAAGTGATGAGGGAATGCATAGCCAAGAGCGATGAAGCTGCTCGCAGCGAGGATAGAAGTTGTCAACATAGCTGCTAAAGTTGAGAAGTTGTCGATTTAACGCGGTTGCTGAGAAACTGGCCTTGAGCAAAAGAGAGTGAGAATACGAAAGGCGTGTAGAGTCTGAAGAGGACAAGAGAAGTGAGAGGAGAAGGTGATTAAGCAGAGTGAGAGGCTGTCGCAGAAGTGGCACAGTGTAGGAACGAAAGTCGAAACGAACGCCGCAAAAGTGCCCACTATTACAATAGAGTCAAAAGACTCTTTTCTCTGATTCATTTGCGTCCACTCAAGATTTTTATAGAAACTTTAGCCTTGCGAGGTGAAGGCCGCAAACACTGCCCGAACATCCCTGTTCGTGATACCAGCACGTGTTCCTGGAGGTTTCCAAATGGAGCGATAATACGCAACAATGCTACTTGAAGTATTCAACCCTTTGCACGTGAATCAAGTTCGGAGATACCGGATGAGGTGTTCTTTTCCTAGGTGCTATCCTATGGCTGGGCGCATCATGGATAGCTGCAGAACGTGGTGACACGAATCACATTCCTCATTCCGGGGTATACGCAGGACGAGATGTTTTCCCCAGATCAGGCTCATTACGACTTCATGAAAAGGATCTGGGCATGTACTCTTCATATTCAGCGAAAGGGCGCAACTTTGGCCGAACTCCAAGAGCAGGAATTTAGGGAAATATGGAGGAGATGGTTCGGCGATGCATTGGACTACAGGTTGATACCTTACGTTTCTGCGTACCCTGAACAGCAAGCATTGCTTCCAGGAAGAAGAACTGATGATTCGAGAACGCACCAAGATCTGTAAGATGGGGTTTCTTGTATCCAGGCCTGCTAATCCTTTTTGAGTTCGCCAGAACCCGACCGTTCAGCCGCAAAGTCCCGCAGACTTTTCCCTTTTCATTTTGAACATCCCCACCTCTACTGCGTACTCCTTTATGTTCAGCCAACCATCTGCCGCCGCAGTTTCGCCCTTCGACCCCTCATTTTGTACATTCTTGTCTCATCTTTATAAAGTCACTCTGGCAAAATTTGCCATCTCAACACAAGCACGGTTTCGTCACGAAACATTCTCCCCGTAGCTCAGTTGGTTTAGAGCGTCTGACTGTAATATCTGCTGTTATCAGAAGGTCCCTTGTTCGACTCATGGTGGGGAGACAACTTTATCTTTTTTCTTTCGCTATGCGTGTTGCATGGTGGGATTGAGTTTTTGCTGGTGTTGAAGAATTGGGTCGTGTTTTAGACGGTGTCATGTGACAAGCTTTTGGTGTTCCTCGGAACGATTTCGATCGTTCCGATGAACGAAACCCTCATTTTCGTATATGTTTTCGAAAGAGCTTCTTACAAACTTATCGCAACATACCATTCACGCGTATCGCGTTGCTATCTCTCGTCAGTTACATCTAGCTGCGGCTCAGTAGTGTAGATTGGGTAGCGCATATGATAAAGAAATGCGCTGAGAAAGAGACGTTCGCGGACATGAATTAACCAGCCACCAGTGAACAACCTCATTGGCGGCTTTTAGTACGGGCAAACACGATCCCTTTAATCTACAGATAGCTAGTCAGAAGATCAAAGCCAAGCCCAGCAAGCGGAATTGACAGCTATTTTCTAGAAGACCTCTGTGGAGCGACGTTCCAAGTCATGCGTTCAAGGCCTCAAGACACGCTAATGTTTCGAAACAAATGAACTGACATATCGCGCATGGAGACGCGGCTCCGAACTTTCCGGGTTAGAGTGGATATGGTTGGAAATTGAGATTGAGGATTGTTGTAGAGAGGGTCAAGTGTTTCGATATATAACGTCCCTTCTTCATCATGTAATCTGGGCATACACGGGCAAGCTCTTCAAACCGGCGATATCATGTTCACTTCAACATATGCCCTGGCGGCACTCTTTACTTTCACCGCAGCTCAATCAGTGACCTACCAGGCTGAGGACGCAGTACTTTCTGGAACAACCGTAGCTACCTCAGTAGCAGGCTACACAGGTAAGCATTCCTCGGGTACTCTCTTATATCCCATTGTAGACTTCTAACACTGTGTAGGCTCCGGATATGTAGACGGTTTCTCCGACGCAACCGACAAGGTCACGTTTCAAATCCCCTCCAATACTACCGGCCTGTATGATCTCAGTCTCGTCTACAACGGTCCCAACGGCGACAAGCAAACCTACATTGTACTCAACGGCGGTTCCGGATCGCAAGTCAGTCTACCAGCTACCACAAAATGGACGACCGTATCAGCGGGACAAGTATTATTTGAAGAGAATGCCAACAATACGATCGAGATTCAGAGTAACTGGGGTTACTATCTGATTGATGCCATCACGCTCTCTCCATCTGCAGAGCGAGGCCCACACAACATAACAGCCGTTCCGGTCAACGCAAATGCAAACGCCGACGCAAAAGCTCTGATGAGCTACCTAGGTGGTATCTACGGCAAGAACATCCTCTCGGGCCAGTACGACCAAGCCTCTCTAGAATGGGTGACAGCCAACGTCGGCAAGACTCCCGCCATCCTCGGCGTAGATATGATGGACTACACCGAAGGTCGCATCGCCAAGGGTGCCTCCTCCAACGATACCACCAGTGCTCTTGCATTCGCAGAGAAAGGTGGCATGGTAACCGTTGTCTGGCACTGGAACGCTCCAGCTGGCCTCTACGATACTGAGGCTCAACCCTGGTACCGTGGCTTCTACACCGAAGCTACCGACTTCAACATTGCGGACGCACTCGTCGACACTACCAACGCAAACTACACTGCGCTTATCAAGGACATTGATACCATCGCAGTTCAACTGAAGAAGCTCCAGGATGCCGGCGTACCCGTCCTCTGGCGCCCGCTGCACGAGGCTGAAGGCAAGTGGTTCTGGTGGGGTGCCCAAGGTCCCGAAGCATGCAAGAAACTCTACCACATCCTCTACGAGCGTCTCACTGTTCACCACTCTCTCAACAACTTGGTCTGGGTGTGGAACTCAGTGGATCCGGCATGGTACCCCGGATCCGATGTTGTGGATATCGTCTCTGCGGATACATACGCCAAGGGTGACCATGGTCCGATTTCTGCCACATACAACGATCTTATCAAGCTTACGGACGATACCAAGATGATTGCTGCGGCGGAAATTGGCAGTCTGATGGAACCGGAACAGTTGAAGGCCTATCAGGCTGACTGGGTCTTCTTTGCTGTATGGAGTGGCGAGTATGTTACTGGCGGCGAATGGAACAGCTTGGATATGATGAAGAGAATTTACAGCGACGAGTACGTCTTGACGCTGGATGAGATTCAAGGCTGGAAGAATGGGAATACAACAGCTTGAAATGGCTAACATTCGATGAGGTGGTATCGTTTATCTTCCATGTAAATATTCAGAAAGAAGACCTTTGAGCGCAATAGAATATCCTCCAGTTGAGCAATCGTACATAACAATACTATATAAATTTGGATAAATTTCTAGCCAATGATCGCTTAACGACATTCTGGGCGACTTAGCAGTAGGAAAGCGACTTATGTGCAGAAGGGCAAGATTGTGGTAAGTTAAATTATATGGCCTGTCACACAAGCATATGAGGAAGAGAGAACGATGAGAAGATGGATAGAGAAATGAAGTTACTGAGAGGGTATATTCATTATCATGTCTCGTTGTCATTATACAGGACATTGATCCCGGTCAATGCCGTAAAAGGTTCGCCACATTGAGCCATCGCCCAGGGCGCTTTTGATCTTCCTCGCTGAAAATTACCATGCTAAGTTCAATATGCCTGACCACTTAGCCTTCATCAAGCCGCACCGACTACTACTTAGAGTTTACCGGCGGATATTCAGCTACCTCCCTGGACCTTCTTGACGATGGCGACAAGACGGTCGAAGAGGGGCTGTCCCTTCTCAATGCCGTTGACCTTAGTGACAACCTCCTCAGCGGAGTTCTCCTTAAGGATCTTGGCAAGTTCGACAGATTCCTCATCGCCCTCAACGTTCTGGAAGCGGTAGGCCTGCTCGACGGCGCCGAGGAGGGCATCAACCTTCTCACCCCTCTCAGCCAGCTGAGCGGCGGGACCAATGAAGCGCTCCTTGCGAGAGAGTTTCCGGAGGGGAGCGCGACCGACACGCTCGACATTGTCCTTGAGAACAGGGTTGGAAATACGCTTGATGATTTCCTCAACGTATGCATCTTGCTCAGCTGTCTCAACGCCGTGCTTGGTGACGATTAGATGGGCAGTCTCCTTGACAGCGTCACGGACGGTGTCGTGGAGCTTCTTGTCATGAAGAACCTCATGGATGTATTGGACCTTGTTCTGGTGTCCGTAGTAGGCGGCAGTAGCGTGAGAGGTGTTGACAGTGAAGAGCTTGCGCTCGATGTAGGGCTCGAGGTCGTCGACGTAGTGGATACCCTTAACATCCGGCTTCTTGCCGCCGTTCTCGAAAGGCTTCTGCTCGACACACCACTCGTGGAACTTCTCGATGACAACATCTAGGCCGCCGTTGGGGGGTTGCTGTGGGACAATGCGGTCGATAGCAGAGTTGGCAAAGCGAGCCTTGCTGTCGATGTTCTTCTTGGTCTCTTCGCTCAGCTTGCTCTCAATGAACCCTCTCCATGTGGTTGTGGCATTGATGGCGTTCTCGCAGGCGATGACGGCGATGGGGTAGTCGAGCGTACGGGCCTCGATAGCCTTGGCGACGGGCTCAGCGACGAACTTGAGGATGTTGGGGCCGACAGCGCAGGTGACGACGTCGGCGCTAGCAATCTCCTGAACGACCTTGTCCATCTCGTGCTTGGAGTTGATAGCACGGTAGTGGTCGATGGTGAACTTGCGCTCGCCGTCGTCACCAATCTCGGTGACAGTGTATGTTTTGGTCTTCTGGAGGGACTCGATGATGCTGTCCATGACGTCGACGAAGACGACCTCGTAGCCAGAGTTGTGAAGGAACTCGGCGACGAAGCCACGGCCGATGTTACCACCGCCAAAGTGTACTGCCTTCTTCTCGTAGGACATGATGTGTGGTTGGTGGGAGTATGTGGAAGGTTCGGATATGTTTAACTAGAGGTTGAGTGTTACTCGAGTGGTCTGGGGTTGAGGTAAGGGAGAGGAAGTTGGAGGGGTAGGTGAGGAAGAGGGGCTTTTGTTGTTGTGTTGATGGTGGGACAGGAAGGCGCGTTGGCGGGGTATATGTAGCAGGAGCCGGAGGGATTTATGGGTTACGTATTGCAATTGGACACAACTTACTTGGCCAGAAGATTCTCTCAGTGGGCGGTGTGCAGGTGAGCCTGGAGGTGCAGTAGGCCGTGGGTGAGAGAGAGGGGAAACAAGTGGTGTTTATGTTGGGGGCGCCCAGCGCGTTGGGTGAAATGGCTAGAAGAGTCCCCGCAACGACAGTGACGACATGTGGACCCGATTGGCTGCTAGGATCAAATGGGGGCAGGCACGAACCGAGACACCGTGCAAAAGCAATCCCAAAGGCGTGGGTGATTGACGTACAGTAGGCTGATAGCAACCTAGCAACATGAAGTTGAACACAATATATTAATACCTCAATGGTGGTGATGCCCAACATTCTACCTGACAGAATCTCGCGATGCGGAGTCTTCTCGGCCGTGGAGGCCGCTCCAGATCGTGCAACTCCCAACATTATGCTCCGCCTCGATCACGCTTTCCATGGTGTGGATGGGGCTGTAAACGTCATACGTCATTGCAATAGCGTGGACGGTGGCCTTGTGGAGACATCGGTACGTTCTCCCGCCTTTAGTTGCGCCAAGCCCGACATCCTGCGTTGTCCATCAGGGCAGCCCCGCCATTGCAACGAGAATCGTGAAAAACTGTGCCGCAAATGATCGCGATCGAGTGAAAGTGGGTATCTCGTGATTATAAAGATTTTATAAAGTTCCGATGCTTCGACGAAGGGTATAGTTTCCGCAGACCCAGTTTATGCGTGGATAGCCTGTTGCACGTGCGGGTATACAGCTATCATGCGGTGGTAGAGGTCTGGGTGCTCGCGCATAAGTACCTCGGGATCCCACGCCATCGCAACGAAAATGGTGTCGATACCGCTGCTCAAGGGCGTGGTGAAGATGTTGCCTAGAACGGTTTAGTGCGAATTTTGCAAATGGTCTCGAGCGACTTACAAATTTGGAGGCCAATCAAAAAGGAGAATGCTACTACAACTGGAGTGTAACCTCCATCTGAATTGTAGGCAGGCGATGTGAAGATGAGGTAGAGGTAAGCCAGAAGCGCGCAGGCATAGGCAATGAACGTGGCTCCCATGGAAAGCACCGGTCCGATCAAGCATTCATTCACCAGCGCATCGATACCGCGGTCCTTGATCATCCTACTCTAGTTAGCTTTGGTGTCTCCGGATCTCGAGCAAATGCTGCACTTACTTCCATGTATCCTTCGCAGCGGCGACGTAGCTCTTTCCGTAGAGCGCAATGTAGCTGAACGCGTATCTGTTCAAGAACTCGACAGCCCAGTTCAAGATGCTAATCAAGCAGCCCAAGACGCAGAATAGGACTGCGCCAACAAGGTTGCCGTCGCTGGCCGCGTTGCGCTGAGCAGCCGAGCAGATTTGGCGCAGGAACTGGATGATGGCCACAAGCAAACTTCCGAGACTGATGCTGCCAAAGCTGTAGGTGACCGAGCGCTTGAAGGCTCCACGGGTTGCGCCCTTGGGCATAGAGTTCGGGTTGAAGTACCATGATCCGTATACGCCGGAGATGGTAGTATGGATTGTGTTCTTGAGCCATCTGTTGCTGTCAGTGATTGAATATGTCCAACTGTAGCTACCAGCACTTACTCTGAGATCCAGTACATGGCAAAGGTAACGAAGACGAGCAAGCCAATAACTTTGCCATTTCCACAATCACCGACACCGTTCCTGCAATTGGAATTGGCGCCGTTCGGGGTATACTGGACATAGATCGACACCAGGGTGACCGAGTACCATGCGCCCAATGCGGCGGCAAGCAATCCTCCTACCAACGATACGATGTAAGTGTGCCCGTACTTCTTCGACACGTCGATGGCGGTCTGCAACATAAGGACACTGAACGGAATTCTAGGAATCCAGCTGATGAAGCAGAAGACATAGAAGACGCTGAAGAGCAGGAAGACTATGCCTCCCGACCAGTATCTCCTCGACAGCATGTAGATGGCTGTGACAAAACCGAAGATGATGTTGAGTATGCCGGTGATCCAGATGAACTGCTTGGTGAACTTGCGCGCAGCCCACATGTATGCATAGCTGAAGACGATGGCTAAGCCCAGGACGAACGCGAAGAGGATGATGGTGTTTGAATTGAGAGCGAAATTATTCGTGTCGCCGCCGTAGATGCCACCGCTGTTGGTTCGCGCTGCAGGATGTATCAGTCTTTATCCAATGGACATTGCGTTGTGACGGGATTGGATACTTACAATATCCCCGAATCGAGATTGCGCTGACCGCGACGTAGCCGAGAAACACTGCAATAAAGAGCAATCCCGCCCACCAGTCGTTGTACTTGGGCTTGTCGAGCTTGAACGTTTGTTCAAAGGTTTGTTTGTTGTCGCCATAGCCATTCTGTTCGTAGCCATTCGGCTGCTGCATTGGCGGTGGGCCTTGAGGCGGCGCATAGTTCTGGCCGTACTGGGGTGGTTGTTGCCCATACGGCTGACCCTTGTATGCGTCTTGGGGTTGCTGGGGTGGCGCACCACCAGTGTAGTAGTCGGCGGCTTCACCTCGTTGCGCCATTGTGACGATAATTGACAGCTTCTTTGATAGACGAAGAATGCGACGATGAGGGGAAGGGGGAAGTCAGGAAAGTAAACAGAAGTTTGGCAGACTAGGGCCGATGATGTATCGCGGCTGGTGCTAGTGAAATCGCTTTCGCGACGCGGTGGTACCATTGGTGTGGCTGAAGATCGGCAATGCGGCTAGTGCGTTCCAAATGGTGAGCGTCATGTCCACTGCACGAGCATGTGAACGCTCTGTGTCGTGGCTGCGATCCATTGAAAAACGCCATGTGCGGCCTAGATCGCGCGGCTGGGAAGCTTGTTTGATGGTACCGGGATGCTTGTCGACGATCCTGATTTCAGCGCAACAACTTGTGCATCGCTCTACGCGTTGGTTCATCAGCTCTAACCTTTGCATGCCTAAGACGAACCGAACCAACGGCCGTCCCACTTTTACTTCCAAATATGCCGGCAGACCATTTTGGCCGTCTTTGCACACGGTGTGTGACAACTGTTTGTGTGGCTGAAATTCTTGGAAGCCGATCGGCCGTCTTGGGTTTCGCACAGTGGTCGCAACATCATTCCACGGCCTGACCGAATGTGCCGAATTTCCGGTACCGCCTTGCACCTGCTGCCAGGCCGTACAAGAATAAGGCTTCGGACCACGAGCGCGGCTGATAATATCGAAGAAAAAAAAGAAAAACTGGTTTTCGTGTCGGTATTGAGATGAAGGAAACGACCATGATGGGTGCGGGCAATGGCTGACGTGCAGATTTTTATACAGATAGAATTCTCGCTAGATACCATAGGTAGGGTATGCATAATCTTGTGTCTCGTTAGCCTATTGACATGAAGCACCGCAGTTACTCTCAGGGTAGGTACTCAATGCGACACGCATTCGTTTACCCTCTGCTGTCGCCAGCTTTCATCTTTTCATCGTCAACCATTTTTCTTCTCTCAGCATTTTCTCTCCCTTTTTTATGGGCCCAAACATAAAAGAAGGGATACACCGTCTCTGGCAAGAGCGTAACGATCATCCCGCCGATACTCCACCAGTTTCCGACGTAGGACCAGTTTTCGGGTACATTGACGTATCTCCAGATGAACACCAAGAACGCCGTGATGCATCCGAGGTATCGTGTGATCCTAATTCCGTTAGTAATAGTCAAGGAAGATGTCGTCCAACCGCCAGAACAAATGTCGACATACCAAATCTCCAAGCTCTGCCCTTTAGTATCCTGCCGCTGAACCAGATACAAGATCTGTCCCCACCCGATCGGCAACTCCAGATACAACCCCGTGAAGAACGCCGTCTTCTGTTCCCTCTCATCCGGCCACACTGTGCCAACCCACCACAAGAATGCCATCCAAGCCGGTACCTGCCACAGCAACTTCACCACGGTCTTTCTCCTCTCCTCCGGCTTGTACGCATACTTAAGCGCCACTGTGACGAACGTGATATCGAATAAGAACCACACAAAGAAGCAGGCCCGTTGAAAAGTTGTCGTGGTACACACATATGCGTAGTAGATCTCATATGCCATGGTCGCAGAAAGAAATTGTACAGTTCCAGCTAGGTAGCGGTCTGAATAGGTCCGGATGGTGTAAAACATATAGCAGAGCGTATAGAGGATACCGCAAGCTATGATCAGGAAGTCGGTTATGAAGAAGTAGGATTCTGGGGGGTTCAGGGCAACGTCAACGGATTGAGGTATTAGGTGGTAGGATGACCATTCTCGGGATATCTCAAACGCCATGTTGGGTTGAATTTGGCGTTCTGATTATGTTGATCAGCGTCAATTTGGGTATATTGTGGGATCAGGTAGTTGTCGACCAGAAAGAACGATGGCAGCAACCCAGCAAAAAGATTGTGAAGAGACGAAAGGAACAGTCACGATGCGAAGACGTGGATTTACTCGTCCACTAAATCCGGAAAATACTGGGTCGAAAGCTACATCCCAATGATGTAGTCAACGCTGACATGCCAAGCTTCCGTCATGTTCCGAGCAAGGCGAACTTCGCAGAAGGTGGATCCGGAGGCCTGAACAGCTCCTTCCGCGTATGCCGACTCCGCCTCCGCCGCGTAGGATGTTCACATGAGTTTCACTCTTACGTGCGACGTCCTGCCTCCTGCTTACGCAATGCTCTCTCATCGCGTGGTTCGTTTCGTAGCTCGTCTTACCCTAGTATGCTCATGGAGGTCGCAAGTGTATGCGTCTCTAGTAAACTCCGCGCGTCGTTCTGAACTAGATATCGTAAGTGGCCGACTGAGAAACGGCTTTTCGTCCGGCCATGCTATGCACAGTCGTCGAAGCCATCAAGTCCGCGTGGTCGACATCCATGCGCTAAACTTTATCGCGTTTAGCGTCCAGCGTACATTACCCCATCCCAGGTGCCAGTAGTGCTGGGATCGTAGATCGTCGTTCATTGCCGCAGCTCGTCATGATTCGTTGCGTTGACCTGGTCATGCCATTCTGTCTTTTCCCATCATTCCCGAGGAAGAAAGCGAATTATCAAACCATCGTCAAGGAATTTCCGCATAGTTGTTCGGTCCCAGTCCTCAATTAAGGTCACTAGCAAGAGTGCGAAGGGGAAATAAATCACAGTAAAAAGGGGTTATTCAGAGATACGGCGTGCTGTAGTTACGAAGGTCTAACCAGAATTGAGATATAACGATGTAGCTTTCAGGACTACGTCTTGGTAGCCTCAAACTTTTCTGCTCATAAAATGCATTCCGAACAACACCATCTCGCAATGCCTTTTTCCATCTGTGACATCGAAGGCCTATCGCTGGGCATACATGGGATCATGCTTGCAGTCTTGTCTAAGATGCGATCGTTCAGAGGCAGCCATAAGCTACCTACACGAAAGGTGGAGAGCCTGACGCAGAGGGTGAGCGATAAACTCACCTGTCGACGACTTACTGGATGACCATACGCAATAGCAACAGAAGAATGAAGTGTTAAGGACTCTTGCATCGGAAAGCAGTGATATCGCTTGCGATTTTGCTAAGCGCACAATCGTTTCCATCTAAGGAAGCCCAGCCTCTTCGTACAAGATAGGCGCGGAATGGAAACAATACGCGACTGGAAAGAAAAGCAATGAACATGACTTTTGAGCTCGAACAGTATCTATACTAACGGATATGGGTATATGGTACGCGAAAAACACTTGATACGCTGCCTATGCGCCATCCGTGGTGGTACACAGTCACCATTGGTGCCCTTCACCAATGCGTTGCGTCGTGTAGTCACCAAGCAGCACCTGGAAGGGATAGGGATCTCGGAAGCTCTCGCTATCAGCCTCTCCTAGGCCCAGGGCTCTTGGAAGGTCTCGGGCTCCTAGGCATCAGACCTTCACCCTGCTCCTTCATCTTGTCCATAGCCTCTTGAACTTGGTGCTGCTTCTTTGAAACATGCTCGTAGCGCTTCTCAACTTCTGCCTCAAACTCTTGCGCTAGCTTACGCTTCTTTTGCCTTGCCTGCTTTGTGCGCTGTACAATATCCTGGAATTGATCGAGGAACCAGTCCCCAGCATCCTCCCACTCGGTAGTAGGTAGAGAGCGGAAGAACTGAGTTTGCTGACCTTCATCAAGGTTCTTCTGTACAAGAGGCAGACGTTCAACGAGCGGTTTTTGGAGTGCGTCCTCAACGAGCATCGGCGGTGGCGCACGAGGATTAACATCAAAGGGTTCGTTCTTGAGCTCTTCGTATTTCTTCTTTAGTAGCGTCTCCGAATCGTAGTCTTCAAGTGGGGCAGCCTCAATGTCTTCAACCGGAGCCTGCTCAATCATTTGCTCCTGCACGACAGGCGCTTGGATAGCAGGTAATGGAGGTGGAAGCCTAGTTGGCGCAGGTGGCTTGATGGACATGATGTTCTGATTGACCGGGGTTTGCGTTCGAGGATCCGGGGCCTGCCGGGTGGGCTTTTGCTGAGAGGTACCAGGCTGAGCATGTGGAATAGGATGGGAATTCAAGTAGGTCGGTGGTTGAGCAGTGACATAGGGTACCTTTCGACTATGATTTTGGTGCTGACTGGCGGGCAGGGCCGGGGTAAATTGCTGGATGCTTTGGGCCCTATGTTGCGAAATGTGTGCGGTTGCGCGCGACTGCTCGCGAAGGTTTGCACCGTGCTGGAACATTTGTGACGAAGCATGCATGTTGTGGCTGACAATTGGAACATTTCGGCCTTGCTGTTGAGGCGGAGGCTGTGAGGCCGCCATGCGTACAGCTTGGTTATTGACGCTCTGGCGTTGAGACATGGGACCACCACCGTTGTGGAAGTTGGGAGCTGCTTCTTGTCCACCTCCCCACTCTGAAAGCTCACCATTAGTGGTGCTCGGATATGAGTCGCCTTCGATGGTTGGGAGTCCTCCGTTGTCCGCGTTTCGCAGGAACGAAATCTTGTCAGCGTTGGAGAGGTGGCCAAGATTGACCTGGTGAAGATAATCTTCATCTTCTTTTGTCAGTCCATAGCCTTCGTAGTCATACTGGTCTTCCAGCTCATCTACTCCGTCTCCGTATTCATCTGCTTCGTCTTCATCTTCCACTTCCGAGCTCTCCTCATAATCCTCAACTTGACCTTGCTGTTGGTGATGTTGCTCTTTCTGCTGGCTATCTTCGACCTGCACAACAGACTGGTTTACTGTGGTGTCGATACTCTCTGCGTCAGTGTCGTAAGGATCACGCTTCTGACCTGGACCCAAACCTGACTGGCGATGTCGGGGAGGTTGTTGCAACACAGCTGAGCTGTTTTTAGCGTTGGTGTATCCGCGCGCTATGGTTTCAGAGGGAGCTTGAGATTGCAGACGATGATGTCCATTCTTTGCGGGTACCCTCGCGCTTGCAGCATTAGCTTGTCGGTCGGGCTTGCCTTGAGGTTGGGCATTGGAAGGACTGCCTGTTCTTCCACGGACAAAGCCTTGCATGATGAATAGTGACCGCAGCAATACAAGCGTACTGTACCCACTGCTCCGTATGCCGAACGTTAGTTGAAAAGGTGTGTTTCGGGCAGAGAAAGTGAGTGGTGAAGCTTGAACGGGAAAGCGCGTCTTGTTGACGCGCTAGCCCAATGCAGATAAGCCTCGGTCTTCCAAAATGAGCCTAGCATCGCGATGACGATATCTTATCTCCGGTCCCTGGTGTTGCTCCCTTCGCCCATGCTGGACGGCTTTCGCTCGCGGGATACTGTAACTACACGTCGTGGAACTATTTCGAGTACGATCATAGTTGTCAAGATGGAAGAGTGCTATCTTTACAGACTCCCCAACGAGGTTTGCTGTCTGTTAATCTGTATTGACAGCAAGATGCTAACCATTGCAGTTGCTCTTACATCTCCTCACTCCTATGCCGACACCTGAACTCTTAAAGTTGACCACAATATCGCACCGTATATACACGCTGATCCTACGCATCTTGCACAACCGGCTTGTTGCAGCTGCCGAATTGCACTCGCACTCTGTGCTACTCGAATGTTTCCACCCCTCCGCCAAACTCACCGAGCCGCCATATTTTTGTACATACAGATGCACCGACGGCTTGACACAATACGATGAGTCGAATTCGAGCACAAAAGAGGTTGGTAGACTAGGCGATATGTATAACATGTACTCTCGCTTCCGTCCACATAGGCGCGATCTTGAAGCGGGCGGGCGGCGAGTGAAGCCAAGACCTGGAGACGTACCTGGTAGTCGCACCTTTCCAGGGGCAGTGCAGGAGAAGTACCAAGGTGAAACGGTCAAGCAGACGCTGGGATTGGAGGCGCATGAATTGTTCACGCAGCTGGTCGCGCAGACCAACCTTGTGAAGATTGGATCTCATAATCTCTTTACCAATTTCGTTGACATTGAGGAAGGCGTACTTCGAGTGTGGAGAGAGTGGCTACGCGACATCGCGGCGAAAGGATCGACGACTAACACAGAAGTACCAATTGAGATTGTTGAGGAAATAGGTAAGGGGAAAGAGGTCGTAAGAGAAGTAGAAGAAGAGAAGGCGGACTTGGAAGATCCGCGCATTCTGTGGGTTAGTCCCAGGAAGGACAGCGGTATACGTTTCAATGTGAGGGAGAGGAAACTTCGAAGGGACGCACCGATCCTTATCAGCACCGATGAGGATATGCCAGTTACTTACGATATCGAGCTTGACGGTAAGTTGTCGCGCCGTCCTTTCTCTTGGGCCGACTGCTGATACAGGGTAGAACTGCTCATAAGAACGTCGCATCTCCTTTTGATGCTCGAGAAGTCTATGCTGCAGGAGGACAATTCATCTGGCAAAGCAGTCGTCTTCGGATCTTTCGGATAGTTCCCGCAATCTCAGCAAATACACAACAATCTCAGAAATGAACATGGTTCAGCAAAAATGTCGGCCCAGATCCTCGGTTCTTTTCGGTGGAGCCACCCCTCTTTACCGCAATCGACCAAGCACAATGATGCATCAACGCATCGGATCCACACAGCAGCAAAAAGATTGCTGCTCCCTTTGGGCAAAAAGAATTGAATCAGGTGTGACCTCGAGGCGATTTGAACGCCTAACCTTCAGGAAGCTCCAGGTGGTACTGGAATCTGACGCGCTACCATTGCGCCACGAAGCCTGATTGGATGAAAGGAAGTGGTTATTGGGACAATTATATACTCAATGGCACCCTGTTCAGTACGATTCAGTACGATATCTTGTCCTTGTTCAGACACAACCGCCATCGGATCCACTATCAGAATGGCCACGTCTTCAGTTCGATTAATCTACCGACGCTAATCCTACCACGTCCCTAGTATCATGCAACGCTTTTCTACCCCACTCAGTCTCTAGTCCTCATGCAGCTTCAAAGATTCTAGGCCCTGGCATCTCAAGCCTGCTAAAAGCATCTCATAGGAATCAGACGATTGATACAGTGGAAATACAAAGCTGTTGCAGTAAGGAGCTGAGGGTGGTGCGGTTTGGGGGAGTATAACTTCTATTCTAGCCCCCCAGCTAGGACGCATCGGGCGCTAGCGCGTAGCGACCTCGAGGAAGACTCACACATGCAGCCTCAGCCAGTAGAGGTGTTCACGACTTCTGCGATTCGACCTTGTAATCAAAATCTGTCAGCGAGCAAGTGTTCAGTATATTCACCCAGCATGACAGAAGCAGAACGACCCAAGATTGGTGTAGGTGTCATCATCCACGATAATGCAGGGAACATCGTCATGGGAGAGCGCGCAGGCTCCCATGGCGCAGGTACTCTCCAGTGCCCCGGAGGCCACCTCGAGTACGGCGAATCATTCGCTGAAACGGCTGCAAGAGAGGTGTTGGAAGAGACAGGGCTTGAGGTGGGCAACATCAAATTCCTGACTGCTACAAATGATGTGTTTGGAGAGGGGAAGCACTACGTGACCATCTTCGTCACTTGTACCATCACTGGCGATAACAAGACACCGATGGTAAGCTCTCGTTTGTCCTAGTGTATCGGCAGTCGAGAATGAAGAGCTGATAAACTTGGTAGCCCATGGAACCGCACAAGTGTGCTGCGTGGAGTTGGATTCCCTGGACACAGATGTGGGCTTGGGCTGGAGAGCAAGCAAAGGCTGAACAAGAAGGAAAAGAGGTGCAGAAGAACCTGTTTCTCCCGCTAGTCAACCTATGGAGAGAATACCCAGAGATGAAGGATGCGCTCGTTGGGAGGTAACCACGGCCTTATCGATAGTACCTCTCATCTGGACAGCTTTCAGTTCCCGCGCCTTGTGGCTGTTCACCTATCATTCTATATACACCCCCTAGGTGCAACATGACAATCTATCTCACCCAGAAATACGCAAATCCTGGTAATAGAATACGTCATCAGTCTGCTTCGGGGCTATATGTTCTACCCTGCGCTGTTTCTATGTCAACAAAGCGAAGGTTGGCATCGGACAATACGATATAACACAAAATGCCACATTGTACTTGGTCGATTGATACTTGTACTATACAGAGAGTTAAAGTTCCCACCATGATATGGCTGAAGCTCCGTGATGGATAGCCGTGGGTATCTAAACGTGGGATGACTTGACGGAGTGCGGTAGCCAGAATGCACCACTGCGTCGTGTGCCGTGTGATGTTCTTCATATGCCTAAACACCGAAAATGAGTCGTACAAAACTCGCCCTAAATGATCCCAGAGTCGTTCGTTGTGCAGTGCGCTTAGCTTGCGATACCTGCTTGCCAAAAGACCATTGCCAATTCATCTACCACCAACGCCGTAAATATCATAATCATGCTTTCATGTTGAACCACAATGTGTCGGAAACGCATCTGGAACTTGGGTATACTAGAATTGGGTTGGCCCGCTAGTCTTCGGCGGTCTCAATCTGGGCGTATTCCTGCCAGTGGCCGTCAGCGGCCTTCTTCCAGGTGCGAATGCTGGCATCGTCTCCAGTAGTAACGAGAAGATCACCTATATTAGCTGTTAGCTGTGGCCATGCACGTTCCGTTGGACTGGCTTACCCATCTGTGAGAATGTGACACGCCAAACTGCTCCGTGATGGTTGGTCAGCTCATCTGTCATCTCTGCCTTCTGCTTGATGCGACCAGGATACTGCTCGTTTTCGAGAGACGCATCGGGAGCCTTCGAAGCTCCGGCCAGTCCAGCTCCTATTCCAGACGGCGCGTTCTGTCGATGACCTCGCGGAGATACTGACAGCGGAGCCGATGACGATGCAGTTCCAGGCGCAGCGTTCTTATCATCGGTCTGCGTGCGAAGCTCATAGATGCGAATAGCTCCGTCTTTGCTAGTTGTAGCCAAGATGTCGTAGCCCCGCATAGAGCCGTTAGCCCAAGCCAAGTCTCGAATGATCTGGCGTGCACCCTCCAGCTTTGCAACCTGGAAGAAGCGCTTGGCCTTGTCAGTGCGGAAGATGAGGACGTCCTTCATAGCGGCAACAGCGAGGGATAGCGACTTGCGATCGAGGCCAGCGGTAATGGCGGTCCAGCAGGGCAGCTTTTCCTTGTGAAAAACGACCTTGAAGCCCACTTCATCTTGACGCTCTGGAGGATTGTTCTCGGAGACCCAGCGCTCTGCCAGGATAGTCCACTCATGGAGGTTACTCTGGTCTTGAGGCTCATACACAGTGAGATAGCCGTCGCGGGTGATAAGCGCGAGCCAAGTCTCCTGCATGATGTTCTTAAAGTCCAAAGACATGAATGGAGCGTTGGTCAACGACTGCAGGTTGTAGATCAGCTTGAAGCGATTGCCGGACATGGCTACCTCAGTAGCATCCTCTTGCCAGATCTTGCAGTGGCCATCTTCACCAATACTGCCGACCACCTCGCCCATGAACGGGCCGTTCCACTTGATCTAGCATCAGATTAGCGATGGTTCACAAAGGTGGCGAAATGGCATGCAGGCGACCGAAAGGAGATTTGCGGCTGAAGATTAGATAACTTACATCGATGATCTCAGCATTGTGAGCCTTCCAGCTCTCGACGAGGGTCCACGAATCGTCCTTCTTGTCCCAGACCTTGGCACGGTGGTCTGAGCTTGCCGTGACCATGCGCGTGCCGAAGTAATTGAAGTCGACGGCGAGTACGAGGTCCTGGTGGCCATGCGAGAAGGTCTGGAAGCTCTGCGCTGCAGCCATCTTGGCGTAGACGCGATGCGCGTCCACGAAGTTCACCTCTAGGTAGTCGACGACGCGCTGCTCAATACTACCTGTGCTACCGTCGGCACAAGGCTCTTGAATCAGGGGAGCGATCAGGTCTGCGTTCTCGATCTCATCTTCAAGCGCGACGGCGATGTTGAAGTCCGGCTTGCGTGCACGCGACCGTGCTTCGTCTTTGGTGGGGCTCAAGGACGACGAATCGCTCACCGCAGCCGACGGCAGACGGGACGCAGTCAGTTGTCGAAGGAAGTTTGGTGAAGTAAGGTGAGTGCTTACGGCGTTCAGACCGTCCAAGAGATGATCGGTCTTTGCCGGGGCGCCCGCGTTGTTGTTGGCGGCCATGTTTGATGCCAATGTTCGTGGGTCTATCGTTTCGGGTTAGCAGAGCAGGAAGAAGCCGAAACAACACCTTGCCAGAATCTCTACTCACCAAACACCGCAACCACAACTTCGTGCAGATCGTTCTGCTCTTGTCGTCTCTCGCTCACGTCGTGAGCTTTTCTGGTTCGTTGCTGAAGCTTGTGGATCTATCTGCTGGCTTTCTCTGTCAGTCTCAAGTCCGGTTCGAACACTTTACGCGAAATCAGGCTCCGGAATCAGACAAAGAAGTTGTTATTGGGCAGAGCGGCGAGCTCAGTTGATGCTGTTGTGAGGGAGTTGCGCGACCGTCGCTGATATTGTCGCGACAGCAAACGGCTGGGCGGAGTCAACAACTACAGGCGTCTACGTGCCAAGATCCGCCGTCACCACGGCATTCAACACAATTACAGTCACCATGACGAGTGCGCTGTCATCAACAGAGACATTTTCACTGCTTTCCTTGTCTATCGCCTGCCTTGGAGTGCTGACCAACACTCTTCATGGTGATGGTGAGCCGCTTGTTGCGTCGATAGCGCTCAGTGGTCTAGCATTTGCGTTCTGCTATGCGTTGATACGATGGCTTGGAAATGCTTTCATGAAGCGTGGCTTCAAGGGACGAGATCTCTGCAAGCTCAAACAGATTGAGATGTAAGTGCCACATACTCTGATCCGCTTGTCAATTGACTGACGGAAACAGCCCTGAGATGATGGGAGCGGTGTGTGCGATGGTGTACCTTTTCGTCCTGATATTCTTCATACCATGGCCTTTCTACAAGGACATTGTAGTCGCAACGTCAGGGGGCGGCAATAGGGATATCATAAAGGAATTGGAGCTGATCGAGACCGGGAGGCTACTACACAGATTTCCCCACAACAAGCTTGCATCTTACCTATCCGCTATTCTCTCCCTTCAGTCTATCGTACTGCTTGGAATTGGTGACGATTTGTTCGACATAAGATGGCGACACAAGGTGCTCATCCCCGCCTTTGCAGTCATTCCCATGCTCGTCGTCTACTTTGTCGACTTTGGCGTCACACAGATGGTTGTTCCGGTACCACTGAGACCTTACTTGGGCGAACTCTTTGATCTAGGTATGCATTCATGTCGAGCATGATTACGAAGCGAGGTACTGATATACGTCCAGGCTGGCTGTACTACGTCTACATGGCGCTCATGTCCATCTTCTCCTCAAATAGCATCAACATCCTGGCGGGTATCAACGGTATCGAGGTGGCTCAGTCTATAGTCATCGCAGTCCTGATTGTTGGCAACGACATGCTCTATCTCTCGCCATTCACGACGTATCCGCATCCGGCAACAGACTCCCATCTGTTCTCGCTGTATTTGCTACTACCATTTATTGGTGTCTCGTTGGCTCTACTGATGCACAACTGGTATCCAGCAAAGGTGTTTGTGGGAGATACATACTGCTATTTTGCGGGCATGGTATTCGCCGTAGTCGCTATCCTCGGCCATTTCAGTAAAACGCTAATCTTGCTACTCATACCGCAAGCGTTCAACTTCGTCTACTCGGCACCCCAGCTCTTCCATATCGTACCATGTCCCCGACATCGGCTTCCGCATTTCAACGCACGGACAGGACTACTGGAGCCATCGCGCGTCGAATTTACCAAACCATTACGACGACCGATAGCGGAGAGCCTCAAGGTGCTGCACCGGCTTCGGATGCTTGATGTTGAGATTGATGCGAAGGGGCAGGTGGTTTCGTCGAGCAACTTTACACTAATCAATTTATGGTTAGTATGGTTCGGTCCAATGCGGGAAGACCGCTTAGCCATGGGTTTGCTCGCGTTCCAGTTCGCGGTTGGAGTTCTAGGGCTGTTTGTACGACATCGGATGGCTTTGCTTATCTTCACCGCGGACAATCTGTAGATGTATGGATATGTGTGTATAGATTGACGGGTTGTGGGACATGTAAACTATTCACATGGCGTTGTCTGCTCGAGTAGTGGTAACAAAAATGTACTTAAAAGTCATATCCTACATGGGCCGGCCGGCAATGTCCTGATACCGAGTAAATATATGACTTCGGCATATGCTGCTTACCGTGCCCTGATAGGTTTGAAGTTGAAGAAGGAGTATTGATTCTATCGAAGGATTCCTATCGAAAGAAGCAATTCGCTCTCCTATCGAGGTGGTTTCCTTTTTTCCCCAGTTGACCGCCTCTCGCAAACATTTGCACCGTTTGTAAAGTCCTACGTTCAACATTACAACGCTTGGGTAAACGTGTGGGTTAGCCAGGGCAACGTTAGCTGTCCTGGAAACATGCTCATGAAACGTCAAATCGGAGTGCTTGGAAATTGGCTGACTTTTGCAGATGGATCGGGAGGCGGTGCAGTGGGGCATGCACGATGCGGGGCAGAGTCGGACCTCTTCGCACGTGAACGTCGTCATCGGTAGCGGAAACAGTGCCTAGAGTAGCTCTCTCAGCGCCAGACGAGATGCGCGGCAAGGTTCCTTGCGTCTCTAATGGCTCAAGATCAGCATCGTGAATTATCACCTACTAGATAGTGAAATAACGCAGCCCGACAGCGGTGGAGGCCGAAGTGGTCCGTCATCAATCGCAGCGTGATTGGCGGCTGTGCCCCTCTTGTCGTCGACTCCGAACATCGGCCGGCATGTTTTTGTGCCTCGTTCGCCTTCCAGCGATTTGAGTTCCCACATGCGCCTCATTTAAGCCGGTACCTGCCCTTGCCGAGTGTCTCTTACTTCTATTGCTCATTCTCAACTTTTCAGTGCACTCAAATTGAATTTGTTGTACTACTCATAACCCATATATATTCAAAATGCCGTCTGCAGTAAAACCGCCGCAGACCTTGTACGACAAGGTCTTTGAAGACCACATCGTCGAAGAGAAGGAGGATGGCACAATCCTTCTGTATATTGGTATGTACTGCGCTGTGTAACCTACTTGTTCTGTACTGACTGCTGCGCAGATAGGCATCTTGTCCACGAAGTGACATCACCAGTAGGCAGATCTCGCAATCCGTAACTTGAGTGCGCACGCTTATACAACCACAGCAAGCATTCGAGGGTCTCCGAAATGCCGGCCGCCGAGTACGAAGACCAGACTGCACCCTCGCCACAGTCGACCACGTATGTTCCCCATTCCGGGGAATACATCAGCGACTAACAGCAACAGAACATCCCTACCGCCTCGCGGAAAAACCTCACCACGACCGAGAAATTCATCGAAGAGACCGACTCGCGGTTACAATGCATGACTCTCGAGGAGAATGTCAAGGCCTTCGACCTCACATACTTTGGCCTTGACGACAAGAGGCAGGGTATCGTGCACATCATCGGACCTGAACAGGGCTTCACGCTGCCCGGCACCACAGTCGTATGCGGTGACAGTCACACATCCACACATGGCGCTTTCGGTGCTCTCGCCTTTGGTATCGGTACCAGCGAGGTAGAACACGTCTTGGCCACCCAGACCATCATCACACAGCGGAGTAAGAACATGAAGGTTCAGGTCGACGGAGAACTCGGACCTGGTGTTGGCAGCAAGGACATTATCCTGCACGTCATTGGCAAGATTGGCACGGCTGGAGGAACAGGTGCCGTCATCGAGTTCTGTGGCTCGGCTATCCGCGGCTTGAGTATGGAGGCGCGTATGTCGATTTGCAACATGTCAATCGAAGGTGGCGCACGAGCTGGTATGATCGCGCCTGATCAGATCACTATCGATTATCTCAAGGGAAAGCCCCTTGCACCCAAGGTCGACAGCCCAGAGTGGAAGAAAGCTTGCAACTACTGGCTTGGACTCAAGTCCGACGAGGGCGCCAAATACGACATTGAGGTCTTGATTGACGCAAAGGACATTGCCCCGACAGTCTCCTGGGGCACTTCGCCACAGGATGTCATTCCCATCACTGGCGTTGTACCTGGACCCGACGACTTTGAGGATGCGACCAAGAAGCTGGCGTGCGAACGTGCTCTGAAGTACATGGGCCTGACTGCCGGCACCCCGATGCAGGAGATTCCCCTTGACAAGATCTTCATCGGATCCTGCACAAATGCTCGTATCGAGGATCTTCGGTCAGCTGCTCAAATCGTTGAGGGCAAGAAGGTGGCTTCTAACATCAAGCGTGCTATGATCGTCCCGGGTTCTGGTCTGGTTAAGAAGCAGGCAGAGGCCGAAGGTCTTGACAAGATCTTCAGTGATGCCGGGTTCGAGTGGAGAGAGGCTGGATGCTCAATGTGCTTGGGCATGAACCCCGACATTCTGTCACCTGGCGAGCGATGTGCGTCAACCTCCAACCGAAACTTCGAGGGCCGACAGGGTGCTGGTGGCCGAACACATCTCATGTCGCCTGCTATGGCCGCCGCTGCCGCTATCGTAGGAAACCTTGCCGATGTACGGAAACTCGCCCCGCAGGCTCCGGCACAGGCTAAGGGCTCACCGAAGATCGAGCTGGACGCTCAAGTCGAGCCTCCCAGCAGTGACGAAGAGTTCGAAAAGATTATGGACCTTCCCAGCTCCGGACCTCAGCACACCGCCTCGAACACTAGCAGCACAGGCAGCGCCTCAGCCGGTATGCCCAAGTTCGAGACTCTTCGCGGATACGCGGCGCCCATGGACGTGGCAAACATCGACACCGACGCCATTATCCCCAAGCAGTTCCTCAAGACCATCAAGCGCTCAGGTCTCGGCAGTGCTCTCTTCCACGCCTGGCGCTTCGAAGCTGGCAGTGACAAGGAAGACCCATCCTTTGTACTGAACAAGGAGCCTTACCACAACTCAAAGATTCTAGTATGCACAGGACCCAACTTTGGCTGTGGTTCAAGTCGCGAGCACGCACCCTGGGCGCTCCTCGATTTCGGCATCAAGTGCATCATCGCCCCATCGTTCGGCGACATCTTCTTTAACAACACCTTCAAGAACGGCATGCTGCCCATCCGTATCGGAGACGAGGCTGTCCTGAAACGCGTCGCTGACGAAGCGAACGCTGGCAAAGAAATCGAAGTCGACCTTCCCAACCAAGTCATCCGTGCTGCGGATGGAACCGAACTGGCCAAGTTTGAAGTTGAGGAGTTCAGGAAACACTGCCTTGTTAACGGACTTGATGACATTGGCCTGACCATGGCCAACGTCGACAAGATCGAGAAGCATGAGCAGAAGCGCACAGCCGTCTGGCCTTGGCTGGATGGAAGTGGGTACTTGAAGAGGCATGGACGCGGACCGGTCAAGGTCCAGGCGCAACCGGTGCCCAAGACTAACCGTGGAGAGGAGATTACCGAACCACTGGAGTGGTAGAAGGCACAGGTTAGAGGGAGAAAAAAAAGTTATGACCTCGGTCTATCTATCAGGAGTTATCGTTTACATCTGGCGAGCGGCTGCTCTGCGGGTTTTGGATCAAAGGTGTTTCTAATTGGGATGAGATATCACGGATTTGAATGACATATATGATTGAATGACTGTCACAACCGATTGTATTTTAGTTGAATGGTCTGAACATGTCGCTATTATACGTTGAATTTGTTCTTCCGTCAAATCTAGTACACGCGAAACCAGCTTTTGGAAGGTATACACCGCGCGCTATGCCGACCATGCATGGTAATCCAACGCCTAAACACCCAGGAACCCCAGCATAGACTTCCGTAACATATCGATACAAACTCGACTCCTATCAAGGCACACATAGTCTCGATTCTTATCGTCCCTGCTGCCCAGCGAGACCAGGTCCATCTCTAGTCCAACCGCCCTTCCGCATACCCTCCTCGATCCTGCCCCAAATTCTCTCTACAACCTCGCGATCCCTCCACCTACCCTTTTCGCTTCCCGTCCACTTGTCTACGCCTACAGGCAGCACACCCCTACCCAGCTGCTTGACCGTCTCCGGTGGCTCTTCTGAGCTCCAGCCCACAAAAATACCTGGGTAGTTTGCAAAAAGCTCAGCTGGCTGGGTGTACTTGTAGCTCTTGAATTGCCAGAGCTGGCCTGTAGTGAAGATGGCAACTACACGGCTCCAGTATGTAGGCTTGAAACTGGCGGTGGAGTCAACGCAGATAAATGTCAACGGTTGTGAGGAGATGGAGGGGAGGAGACGTTGGATCTGGATCATGTTTGCTGAGGCGGATGTGCTGGACGAGTCTGTAGTATTGGGTGGGATGAAGATGCCGTCGCTCAGGAAGGTTTTTACGTTCGAGGTACGGAGGAGGGACGAGGCGGATGGAGACAGGAGGATAATGGGTTGCAGACGGCGCTGAGTACGCTTTTGGAGGTTCGCGACCAGGGCAGGTTGAGGCGCAGGGATTTTGTTGGCGTCGGGGCGTGAGCGGAGGAATGTACTGGCGATCTTGCGGTAAGATGAGAAGTCCTGGTATGTGTTAGTCTACCGTTGTGACGATATTAACAAGCTGGGTGATACATACGACGTTCTTGGTACCTCTCAGCACGCTGTTGTGGTCTCCCATCTTCCTTTCTCCGTCGTAGATCTGCAGTAACCGCGCATCCACCATCTTGCCCGCGCTCCCTACTTTGGTGCCCCTTCCTCCATCAACTGGAACGCCCTTTCCACCTGCAATCGCCGCCGCATCACCAGCGGCCGCAGCCAGGGCGCCTTCATCTATAGGAGCGATGCTATCACTGCTCTCCGTCTCTCCGCTCAACCAAGCAATAAGCTCAATCTTCTGCGCGAACGTCAAATTCTGCACACTTCCTCCCGCACCACTTGGCAGCTCCTCGTTGATTGTCTGGACAGCGGCGAAGTAGTCGGTGACAGAAGCGTCCTTGTTCAGCCACGCGAAGTAGCAGCTGCGCAAATCAACCGCCTTGCCATCTGGGGCGAATCGCGTGGGTGTGTTCAGCGCAAACACTCTGTGGTCGCCAGAGTCGGTATTGAAGGAGACGTGTGTTGCGACGGAGAGATCAGCGACAGTGTCGGCAGGTGTAGGTTCGGCGCTCGTGGTGAGAATAGGTGTTGCGCTGGCTTTGATGCTCAGGCGGAGGTTGTAGAGCGCGTCTGCGACTTCGGCTTCTGCTGCAGCCATTTTGAAGCGATTGGCGCGTCGTGCGCGTGTGAGGAAGCTGGAAACTGGGGGTGGTGGCTCTTTGGCGTTGATGCTGGGAGCTTGAGTTCGCGACTATGCGATTGCACTTTCGGGGAGGATGCCGGGGTTTCTCCGATTGGAACGTGCCTCGGACTTCCGCTTGCGTCTTCACTCCGCCAGCACAACTATGTCTACAAGTCCATACACTATATCCGTGTTAAGGTATTCTCCCAAGTATTGAAGTCGACGAAACAGCTATCACAGTCTTGATGTCCACTAAAAGCAAGCATTGCTCCAAGAAGGAGCTTGCATCTTCTGAGTCAAGAAGGTACACAATTCAGTCACTCCCTTAGTATGGGACAGTTTCCGCAATAGAGTGATCTCGTCTCTCGCCTCTAATTCTACCCCAGCTTTGTGGTGACAGCTTCTCACGTGCTGCGCCAGATTTACCAGGTGAGAGAGCGTGTACGCGTTCAAAGTCAATACTTAAGCTCCCACACCGGCTTTCAGACCATCACTCATACACCACAATCAGATATATGGGCAACTTCAAACTCAAGCCAGGTACTAATCACGCCGACGCCACTGCAAATCTCAAGGAACCACAGAATACCCACACCACCTTCTGTCCTACCGAAAGCGAGACCATGTCTGCAGTAGTCCTCCCCGATTGGATGGTGGATGCGGCATCAAGCGCCGACAGTGACGAATAAGATGATCAGAATCTCGGACTTCACGCAAAAGACAAATATTCTGCAACCGAAACGATCGATCGTATGATCCAACGATCTGTACAACAGATTGACAAACAAGAATACAACAGATTGACAAACAAGAATACAACAGATTGACAAACAAGAATACAACAGATTGACAGACAAGAACTCATGAAGGTAATTGCTAAGGAAACCTCATGCGCCACCAAGCAACTGCTTGATGAGGAGTACTTCTTGGTGAAGCGATGGAGCTTTGGTGGTGATACGTCAACTACAAGTTGATCAGTCTTGTTGGAGATAGATGATGACTATATTTTTATCGCAACGATGTGAACTTGCTCGCTTCGTCTCTGATTCTCTGAATGTTCTACAATACCTTGGAGGTCCGCAAAGCACAGAGCGATAACAGGTAGTCTCTCCATCCACAAGTTTTCTCACCTAGCACAGATTAAGAGGTTAGCACAAAAATAGGGTTGATCTTCGCAAGGGAGGTAGAGTTGAACGTTAAACTTATACATTATCATAGCGTGGTCGTTAAACTAAGATCACATGCTAATCCCTCTTGGGAATATCTATCTACTGGCTGACAACAGTGAAGCTGTCCTGAACCTTCAGGTCACGGCTGCTGAGACCAACCCAGATGGTGAACTCGCCCTCAGGGATAACCCACTGCTGGCTGACAATGTCCCAGTAGCTCAAGTCCCTGCGCTGAAGCTCAAAGGAAACCTTCTGGCTCTCACCCTCCTCAAGGTAGACCTTCTCGAAACCGCGGAGCTGACGGATGGGTGTGCCAGCAGGTGCGGAAGAGGGAAGGCCGACGTAAAGCTGAGGGACAGTGGCACCGGCAACGTCACCAGTGTTGGCAACAGAAACAGTGACGTTGTAGAGACCCTCCCAGAGAGCGGGGTTACCACCGGGCTGGATGGGGAGCTGCTCAGGGTGGGAAGTGATGTTGTGCTCAAGAGGGGAAGACTCAATGTCGGAGATCTCAAAGGTGGTGTATGAGAGACCGAAACCGAATTCGTAGCGGACAGACATGTTCTTGAGGTCGAAGTGGCGGTAGTCAATCTCGAGCTTCTCGTCGAACCAGCTCTGCCAGTCAGCGTATCCAGTGGTGTTGATAGCAGTGGTGGGAGGGGCGTTCCAGTCAGAGCCGTTGTTGGCAATAGTGTAAGGAAGGTGACCAGAAGGGTTGACGTGTCCGTAGAGAATGTCGACGAGCGAGTTTCCAGACTCCTGGCCAGGGAAGTGGGCAGCGAGGATAGCGGTAACGTTGGGGTGGTCAGACCATGGGAGGGTGTTGACACCAGCAGAGTGAGTAACGACGACAGTGTTGTTGCAGAAAGAAGCAACAGACTCGACAACCTCATCACCATCCCAGTCGTTTGAGAGATGAGCACGGTCAGCACCCTCCTCAGCCCAAGTCTTGAGCATGACAATGCAGACATCGGGGATGGAGCGGGGAATGACAAGCTGGCTGACGTTGTTGGAGATGATGTGAGTGTTGTTGAGGAAGGACTGGGTGATACCACCATCAGCAGCGACGCGGTCCTGAATGGCACGGAGAGGGGTGATCATGTAGGTGAATTGACCGGTACCAGAGCCACCACCAGCGAGGAGACTGCCGTACTCGTAGTTCTGCTGGTTGAGGACGGAGCTGCGGACTGGCTCGCCTGCATCGTTACCGAAGACGGCGACGTTGCGAGGAGCCTTGAGGGGCAGGGTACGGTCAACGTTCTTAAGGAGAACGCTGCCGGCGGCACCGTGTCGGCGGATCAGCTCACCGTGGTTGCCACGGACATCACGGCTAACTTCGCCAGTGAGGTTGTACTCGCGGGTCCACGTGCTGCGGGGCGAGAAGGTGTTGAGGTCAGCACCTGAGGGGTCGGCGGAGGGGAAGTCCTGATCTTGGCCGAGCTGGAAGTAAGGGGTCATGATACGCATAACCATGTCGTCGACACGGGACATGTCGAGACTGCCGTTGTTGACAGCAAGAGTGATGTTGCCACCAAAGTAAGAGGGGGTGCCAAAGTTCAGACCGTAGGCACCAAGTCCACCAGGCATGTTCATGTCAAGACCGGCCTCGATGGCAGCGACACCGGTGTGGGTGGCACCCCAATCAGACATAACGTATCCTTGGAAACCAAGCTCAGTCTTGAGCAGACCGTTTTGTGAGGCAGAGTTCTGGCATCCGTAAGATCCGTTGATCCTCTGGTATGAGCACATGAAGCTGGCGGCACGGGCCTTGGCTGCGTTGGCGAAAGGCCACATGTAGAGCTCGTGCATGGTACGGTCATCGATGTTGGATGAGAGAGCTGCAGTAGTTGCCTCTGTGTTGTCGTTCTCGTTCTCGTAGAGGGGATTGCGGAGAATTTCCTGCTCGTTGCCAACCCAGTGCTTTGCGCAGGCTTGCACACCCGCGTCCTGAACACCGGTGATGGTCTTCTCCATAGCTACACCGCTGAGGTAAGGGTCGGAGGAGAATCCTTCCCAGTTGCGGCCTGCGTAGGCGGAACGTCCAAGAGGACCGGCGACAGGGCCCAAGAAGATCTGAGAGCCCTTGGCCTTGAACTCACTACCCATGGCGTGACCACGCTCGTACATGATGTCTTTGTCCCATGTAGCTCCGGCAGATACACCAGCAGAGAAGACGCTGGCGTAGTCGGCAACACGGATTCCAAGAGGTCCATCCTGAAGACACAGACCAGGGAAGCCAAGGCGAGGGATAGCAACGATGTTGCCAACGCAAGGTCCGGCTTGACCAGTGACCATGTCGGCCTTCTCCTCAACAGTGAGCTGGGCTACGAAAGCTTTCGCCTTCTCAAGGCCCATCTCCCAGCCACCAGCGCCAGTGATGTTTGCTGCAAAGTGTTAGATTGATGACCATAGTGAGTGATAGAGGATAACTTACGCGAAGGGTAAACAGGTGGTGAGGAACCATACTCGGTCAAGATAGTAGTGTTGACCGGCTGTACGTACTCAAACGCATCTTCGTCACGGCCGCTACCAGCGAAGTTCTGGGCATTGACTGCAGCCAGGAGGGCAGAGCCCTTGAGCACTGCAGAGACGAGAGAAGGTGCCATGATTCTGGATTGTCGAAGGTGAATCGAGTGCCTGGATAGCCATTGTCGTTCTACACCGCAGTACTTATATACTGCTTCTCTCTCGGCGCACAATCGTCCGTCCGGTGGCAGTTCACGATCCGAATCATACAGCTAGAAGCCAGTGAGGCAGCCACAACCATGTACCGAAGTTTGCCCGTCCGGGTTGCGGAGTCTCCACATACCCGTACCATACCAATGGCGTCCTGGTTTCGAGGCAGACGACGTCATTTCAAGGCGGCATAGCGGTTGCCAAGATCCTGGTCGGACGTCTGTATGCGCGTCGGCAGATGCTTGTGGAGAAAGAATAACGAAGAGGTCGGAGCGGGTTGATTGACTCGCGCGAATCTGCGGGGATCGTGAGTGTAGTACATGACTCGTGACAGCGAGTCGCTTCGAGGCGCTGCAGTCGACTATGCAGGGTTAGCTCTTTCGCGCGTCAAATCCTGGAGGATGCTGTCTCCTCCACGTGCTACGAACCATCACTCTGGAACTGGAGGTTTCATCGACAGAGTATTCTTCGGTATCCGTCTCCGCATAACACATCGGTACACCTTCCATCACGACTCATGCACATGGGGAAACCGCGCAAAATGCGACCATGCACAGCCAAGCTCCACGTCTCCAGGCTTGTCTGTTCATTAGAAAGCGGGGCGAGATCTTGGAAGTTCTGTGTTGCCGACGAAAAGTCCCGACGACCATCGGTAGGGCATCGTCACGAGGTCCCGGATGAAGAGAAATTTTCGGTGCATGGAGCAAGCGTCGGAGCAAGTGGTAAAATTCGGTAGACGCTAAACCGACATCAGAAACGCATCCTTGGAAAACCCCAGCATCGCGACATGGGGATCGCTCCGGAGCTCCACAAGAGACTTCCCCGCAAAACGTTCTGGGCCGAAGTTGAGCCTCAAGTCGAGCGTAGATCGTCAGGTCAAGTTATTGGCAGCATGGAAATTCTCGCATCGCGGCAGCCGAAAACCGTTCTTGGTTAAGAACACCGCATTGTTTTTGCCTATGCGTAGTGGACTACCCGTACGTAATGTTATGAATCAGTGAACAAGACGTTTTCGGGATACTCAATCTGGTATGAGGACTGGTTAAGCATTCAAGAGTTTCCAACTCCACATCGTCCATGTTGAGCCGCTATTGCGGGAACTGTGCCATACTGAGGGAGTGACTGGATCATGATCGCATTCATACGTGCGTACTCAATTGAGCCTGCAGGGAACGACCCTTGCTTCGACATGACGGTCAAG